TTTGTATTTATTACAAGTGTTTTGTATTTTTAAAAATCCTATACACACAATTTACTGCATGTATATTTACAAATCAACAATTATTTAGTGTTATTAATTTATTTTATTGGAATTTTGATGACCCAAGAGAAGAAATTAAATTGGATGATAACGCCAATGAGGAAAGTATTTTATTAGTTCCCGACAATAACTCTGCTGAGAACAATATTGAAGCCTCAAAAGCGCTGTTATTGAAAAAGCCGTAAGAATCATTTTACAATGTAATAAACATCGATGTTAAATGATGGATTTTTTAATAAGTAAAATGATATTTATATACATATGTATGTATGAACTGTTAATTTTGAAAGTAGTGTGACTCCACATTCCAAACAATGGGTTTAAGGATAACTATTCTAATTTTTAAGAGAAAATTATAAATTAGAGAATTGTGGTATATTCCATTCAAGTTTCTAATAAATGTTTTATGTAATCTGAACATTTTAATACATTTTAGAACACATATGTAAATTGCAAATTGTCTTTGGCACACATCTTTTTAAAAACATTAAAATTTAATACCTTCTACATATATCTCATTTCAACCATTGGACTCACGATACTTTCAAAATTAACAATTCATATACGTAAATATGTCCCTTTTATGCCTGTTTATGTACAAGAAATTTATTTAAAATAATACACATTTATTATATTTTGTTCCGTTATGTAATTTTTCATGAAAAATAAAACAAAAATAAATAAAATCCAATATTTTATGTGTATTATTTGAATTTAAACATACAAAATGTGTTGTTCAATAATACGAATTTTTCGGTATTACGAAAGGGCCTGACACTATATAATTCGTACTAGTGGACGTCCACTGTATTTGGAAAACCTATTTAAATTAAAGGAAATATATAGAATTATCCAAATTTTAAAGTTTATGTTGTAAGTCTTAAGAAATCGGAGTTAAATTTCGGTTTTTTAAGAACGTACTGTGTTCAAAATGGCTAAATCCATGCATATAACATTAATTTCGAAATAACAACTCTTTTCAAAAGTTAAAAATTCTATTTCCAATGCACCATTTGGAGGGTTCAATGACCACAAAATCCAAAATCCGAGGTCTAAAGTAGAAAAAATCGTAGAAATGAGAAAAAAAAACTGTTCTACTAATTAATTCCGGAGCCAATCGGCCCAAATTTCAAGATTTCGGAACTAAAAGTAGATTTTTTCCAAGTTATTGTGTATTTTATATTATTACAAGTAAAATTTTCATAAATTTTGATAATATCATTAAACCAAATATATACTAAAATTATCTGTATACTTACTTTTGTGACGTAAATGTTGCACCTTTTTAACTTCAGCTTAAATGAGAACTCAAAGAACCAAAATATGAAGAAAAAAAGTAGTGAATAATAATTATCATAATTGTTTTTAATAAATAAATGTGTTACTTTTTTGTTTTTTGAAAAAATAATATCTTTTTTTAAATAAAACCAATTGTCAGTATTTCTGTATAATTATTTTTGTGATTAACTGTACATATTATTTTTTATACCGTGTAGGTCTCTACTATTGTCGTATACGAAATATATAATGATCTTTGTAGAAATGTGACCAAACCACTACCATGGAAAGTTGTCAAAAATTAAGATATCTATGATAAAATCGAGTTTTAATAATTTTATTTACAATTGTGGGAGGTTTGTACTCTCAATTGATTAGTAAAAAGTTCCCTATAATTGATAAAATAGATGCATATTTAAGACAAATAGTTTGTGCAATTTTTTAGTATTTCGCACAAATTTACTATGGATTAAAATGAATATAAAATTTATTTATTAATTTTTTGTCCTAAAAACATAATGAATCCCTAGATAGATGTACATATTTTTTCGGATTTCGGCAACTCTAAATGGTGTACTTTGACAGTTGTATCTACCTCAAATAAAAAAATTAGTGATCAGCTGTTGAATTGACTTCACCTTATAAGTGCACCCTGAAACATCTGTTAAATGTCAAAACTTAGTGTTTGTTGTATTTTTAAGCAGACAGTAAACAATTACTTCAACTTTAACAAAAACGAAAAAATTAACTTTTTTTCAATCCCTAATTAATAAATTAAACCAAAAAATTCAATTTAGGAAACAATGAAAACCGAACTTATTGCCAACAGTTGCCGGATATGTTTAACACAAACAAAAAAACTACGTTCCTTATACAAACCAATCGATGAAGGAGACGAACCGCCAAATGAAATGTTGCATCTTATTACAGGAATACAAGTGGAAAAGGTTTGTTAATCTAAATAAATATATAAAGGATGTTACTTTTCTATAATTAAAAATGTATTTAACTTAATATTTATAGTTGGATGAACATGAAACGTTGCCAAAAAATATTTGTAAAAATTGTGAATTGTCATTGAACATGGCATTTGAGTTTCGGGAAAATGCGCTCAGGACCCAAGAAATTATAATGACATATTTGAATGAATTAAATGGCTATGAAAGCAATGAAGAAAGTAATAGGTCACACATTTCCAATTACAAAGCAGAATATGAAGAAATAATGAACTTAGAACCCTTGGATTGTTCAGATACTTTAGAAGAAGATATACAAATCTTGAGTAAAGATGAACAAAAGTCAGCTCGGGAAAATGATGAAGAATTAAACGAATTAGCTAGTGGTGATGAAAATCCTATAGGAGAAGAGGAAGAACAGGAGGAATATTATAAACAAGAAGTATCATATATCTTAAAAAATACTGATGACAATGAGAATGATGAGGAAAATGATCAAGATAATTATACTGAAGATCAACAGGAAGAAGAGGAAGAAGAACAAAAGGATCAAGAAGAGGCTATGTGTGAGGAAGAGGAGGAGGAAGAGATATCCTACAAACAGCAGGTTATGACTACAGAGCAAGAAGATCTCAGTGAAATGGAAAAAACCTTAAACAAAACCACAAATAGTACAAAAACTAGTAGAAAGAAAACATTAAAGTTAAATTCTAACGACTTAACGGGCAGTATCAAACAAATTTCGCGACGTGGTCGCAAACCCACTAACTCCAAAAATGAAAATGGTCATATTTGTGATATATGCGGCAATGTATTTGCCAAACTGGGACGTATGATGGAACATAGACAGCGTCATGATAAGGAGCATCGTTACAGTTGCGAGTAAGTGGAAAACATTTATTATATATAAATAAATTATATTTTGCTAATATTTATTAATTGATATGTTATTAAGGATTTGCAATCAAACCTTTCTAACACGAGAACTTTTACGCAAACACATGTTCTCCCACAGTGGTGGCAAACCATTGAAATGTAAATATTGTTCCCGAACATTTTACTATGAAAGTGTACGAAGAGCACATGAAGCGTAAGTACAATTATAGTAAAGAAGTGTAACTATATAAAACCATTCCATTACTTTTCCCTATCTTAGGGTACATCAGGGCCACAAACCCTACGTTTGTGATGTCTGCGACAAAGCTTTTAGTTATGCTCACGCCTTAAAGAAACACAAACTAATACATGCCGAAATTAAACTATATCGTTGCGAATACTGTGCAAAAGATTTTCGCCTACAACATCATCTGAAACAGCATGAAGAGACAAGATTGCATCAGAATACAGTACGTCATGCACATGGTGGTAAAGCTTATGGAGATTATTATATACCAGGCCAAGACGAACAAGATGTAAATGATGATATTATATTTTTAGAAGAGATTACTGATGATCAATTGGCCAGTGGTAGTTAAAATATGAAAAATCCATAAATTATTTTATAGATATTTTATTTATTAATAAAGAAACATACCAAATAATAAATATATAGGCAATGCCTAATAGGCTAACTAAAAGGTCACAACAATAAAGCTAGCTCAAAGAAAAACGTCATTAAAAATTTTAAGATTTACTATGGGCATTTATAACAAAAAAAAAATCATAAAAACTAAAATAATTGACATTAAAAACATCATAAAATTTAAAGATTTTGCGTTATGACCATTTGGTTGCAAATGAGCGACATGTATTTGCATTAGGTGTATAACCAAAATAAGTTTATTTACAAAAACAATGTTATGACAACTCTTAAGTTAAAATGTTTCATTTTTTCATTCATTAATAAGTTCGAATTTCGTTGGAGATTATTGTAAAAGCTTTAACATTTTATCAATTTAGATTTTTCAAAGATAACATTGCACTGCCATAAGATGTCTAATTGTTATTTAGCATATACGGGAACAAATTTATTGTATTGTTCCCGAAGACACCTTTATTTATAAAATCTGTTATACCATTAGAAAGTTAAATTTGTGGTTAACCTATTTTATATATGTAGTACATATTCTACCTTATTCGATATCAGCGCAATTAAATCCTTTAAAAAAGTATATTTTAGTGTCTGGGTAAATAATTTGTTGGCATGTGTAATACACGGTTATCCAACTGAAAAACAACCCCTTACTTATTTGCTTTTAATTATCCACCTGTTGCATATCCCTCGTAGTAGGCTATGCAAATTCAACAGGAAGTTCAAATACTTAACGAAATATTAACAAAATAGTACGTCCTTGTGTTTTTTTTCCAAAAATACATATATACATACATACATATGTATGTATGAAAGTATGTATGTATATTAGAATGGCTCAGTGAAATAAAAATTCAAACATTGCTTTGGTTTGAGATTTTTTTCCTATTTATATCAATTCCAAAATATCACATGAGAATTTGTTTATGGCTGAATCGAACGTTAATAAAGAAGATTCCGAGTAAGTCGAACTTTCTGAATAAACTTTTTCGAAAACTAAAAAGCAAACACAGTCTTTGCCGGGCACTTGCCGCGTCAACATCGTTTTCATTATTATCGGTGTGTTATAGCGGGTGATTGCATAGTTTGTTATTGGAAGGCCACTGGAACGCTTTATTTTTGTTTATATATTTGGCTTAAATTTTATTTCACGTGATTACTTAGACATTACGGAAATGCGAAGCGGTGATCTAATGATTAAGACAGCAGATATGAAATCAGCTAAAAAATTCCTGAAGGCAAAATATATTGATGTTGTACCAGTGACAATAAATATGCTTAAAGGTCTTAACTCCACTCAAGGACGAATTTTTTCAAGGAAGATCATTGATATTTCTGAAGAGGATCTTTTAAAATCCCTTGAAGGTCAGAAGGTGATTGAAATTCGCAAACCATCAAGAAAAGAAGGCGAAAAGTACATTCCAACAGGAGCAGCTATATTAACTTTTGACCTAATACACCGACCAGAAACATTGAAACTTGGATGGGAACGAGTGCGAGTTAATGAACAAGTGCCTAATCCAATGAGATGTGCAAATTGTCAAAGATTAGGTCACAAAAAAAAAGAGATGTAAGAATATTGAATTGTGTAAAGTTTGTGGTTTACTCCACCACATGATCCGTGTACCAGAAAATACTGTGTTAATTGTAACAATGAAACTCGCACATCATTTGACTCGTCAATAAAATTAAAGCTGACAAAAGGTGCACCATACGTGAGGCTTGGGCAATATTTAATGACAACCCTACAATTCATACCCTGAAACCTTTCAATAAGAGAGCTCCTACTTATTCTGAAATTTTGGCCAATGGAACAATAGTCACGAATAATCAAAATTTGTACAAAGACAACAATGACGCCTTTTCATCTAACGGTATACAAAAGACAACAACAACCATCAATGCAAATTCTTCATCTTCCAGTAAAATTAACAATTCAGAAACCAACTCTTTATTTTCCAATAGGAACAACATCACTAATACAAATGCATCAATTTCCAACATCCACAATAATGACATTAAAGCTACAAATCAATCAACTTCCAAGAGCGAAAATAAAATCCCCGTTACAAATTCCTCAACTTCCAACAATGATAATATGATAACAACAATCAACAATAACACCATCAACAACAACATTACCAACAACAACACTACCAACAACAACACTACCAACAACAACGGCACATTAAACCCAATTACTTCAACAGATGACAGTACTTCAACAAATATGATTATCAGTAATATTGATTTGACAACAGAGGACTTAACTCATCAATAGCAGTTATCGTCAACATTCGAGAATGTCGGCATATCGATAAGTGATGATAAAGATAGTGCTAGTGCTGGTAATGAATTGGCTACTATCGAAGATGATAATGGAATTACTACAAATTAATGTCAATTGGGAACTCCACCTAATGGGACTTCAAATGTTACCGATTTAACACCATGTAGTAGTATTTTTGGAAAATTTACAGATTTGAACGTATTAATAACACCCGGAACATATAGGAGATCTTTGCCAAAAAATAAAGAGGAAAATAAGGATGATAGTTGCGAATAATTCATTTTTTAACCGTCAAAATGGATATTGGACTGAACATTATAGTTTTGCAGTGGAACATCCAAGGATTTATAACACATAATTACGCTCTGGAAAATCTAGTTTCTAAACATAAGCCTACAATTATCGCACTTCAGGAAACACACATTGTGTCAAGAAATTTGAAATTTTTACACCTTCCCGGCTATAGAATTTTTCACCACAACAAGACCGACATTTATAAGGAAAGTGAAATAGTATTGACAGACCAAATGATTAACGCTATAGGAAATTTTAATGATGGACATCATTTACTTGTTGAGGATTTAAATTCACAGAATCCCATTTGGGGTTCTCAGAATTTGTCACCTAGTGGAGCTCTCTGGGAGAATTTTGCTGATGACTCTGGTCTGGTAATTCTTAATGATGGCTCTCCCACAATTCTTAATACGAGGAACACATTGACTGCTATTGATGTTTCAATGGCAAATTCTGATTTTGCTCCCTGTCTATCTTGGACAACGTTAAGTACACCGGAAACTGGGGATCATTTTCCCATAAAAATAAGCAATAATAACCAGACATACAAGAAACGCTTTCATTCAAGTTTTTTAGATTATCAGGCTGACTGGTCACTTTTTTCGATGAAGGTAAATAGTGTTATGATGGAATTCCCTGAATCTCCGAATGTTAATAAAGAAGCAGCTCAAATTAAGAGAATTATTCGGAAATCTGCAGACGAGACAATACTACAGAGTAAAATTCTTCGTTCAAATAATTCCCCAGCTTGGTTCAATTCCTCTATTGCAAAATTGATCAAGAATAAGAATAATGTATTTAATCTCGAAAATAGCAAAGCGCCAAACATGGAGTAATTTTTTAAACTCTCTCAACCCGATGTTGGATGTTAAGACTCTATGGTCTAGAATAAGGAGTATTAGAACTGAGGAAAGATGCAATTTTTCATCGTTGATGACGCTGTTATTTCTAATCCAGTTGACATTGCGGATAAATTTGCTCAAGTTTGGTGTGCAATTGGTTCAGACGACAATTTTGATACTAATACCATATTGAGAAAACGTACTTATATAAATAAATTTGAAGAGAACATGTGCCACCAGAATACTTTTCTTTCCGAGGAAATTTCCAGGGATGAACTTGGGCAGGCACTTAGCAATGTTAAAGGAACTACACCATCTATGGATAGGATCACATATTCGATGATAAAAAATGCTCCCGAACCCCAGCATTTTCGAATTGTTAAACTGTATAATAAAATTTTGCAAAATGGAATATATCCACATGATTGGAAGGTTGCGCTGTTGTCACCTATACCGAAACCAGGGAAAAACCTAAATGGGACAGAAGGTTAACGACCAATATCATTAATTCCTGTATTATCGAAATTATTGGAAAAGATAATGACTAGAAGGTTTTGGCGGAGAACAAACTACGTAAGAATTTATCGAAAGGAAAGCACAGTATAGTACTATCTGAGGACATTCAAAAGGCGTTTGATCGTGTGGTCTCAATATTTGTTCTTGATGAGTTGCGTGATTGGGGTGTACCATTACCAGTCATTAAGTTTATCTATTCGTTTTTGTGTAATCGTCAAATTAAGGTGAAAATTGATGGACACTTATCACAACCATATAATCTGCATAATGGCATACCCCAAGGGTCACCACTATCCGTGGTTCTTTTTAACATCTATGTGAATTCTTTGGCCAGATCTGTTCAGAGTGTGCCTGGAATAGATGTTATTGGTATATATGCAGATAATATTTTTGCTTTGGCATCAGGAAATCATGATACTATTTCTAATAATATTAGATCATTGAATGAGAATATACAAAACTGGGCTTCTTTTCGTGGAGCAGTCGTACCGGAACAAAAATCAGATTTGCTGCATATTTGTAGAAGAAGGAATTGTTCTCCACCAGCTATACAATTTGGAGACATTCAATTACAGTGCAAAGATGAACTAAGAATCCTTGGTATAATGTTTACGAGAAATTTATTGTGGAACTGTCATATTAAATATTTGATTGCCAAACTGGGTAAGATTAATAACATCCTGAAGTTAATATGTTCTAAGAAGAAGGGCCCCCATATTGAAACAGCTATAGACATCTGCAGATCTTTGGCACATGGTTTAGTCCAGCATGGTATAACGGTATATGGATGGACTTCGAAAACTAATATCGGAAAATTGAATGCTGCCCTGAAAAATTGTTTTCGAACAGCTACCGGTAACATCTCTGCCATGTCTTCGAATTGAATCGAAATCACCAGATTTTTACACATTGCTTCATAGAAGATCAGAATGGCGGCTAGATCTATTACATATCCAAATGATGGTCTGCATGAAACTTTCTGGCAAAAAATTGATTCTGGTCATAAAGGAAATATTTGTGGAATAGATAAGATCATTTTTTTATTTAAAAGACTTGGAATACCTTTACCATCTAGGCCAAGAATAGACTTTAGTTTATACTCTCACAGAAAATCTAACACCAGTCCGGACATTTTTAAGAAAATGGCAATAGAAAAGATTTATAATTTTTCTGCTAATGTTGAACTGTATACGGATGGATCCTTTCAAGATGGAAGAACATTGTACTCAGTGGTTCAACGCCAACCCGATTCGAACTGGGTGGTGGTCAAACAGAGCCAATTACCTCCATATTCTGGTATTTTTTCAGCTGAACTTGCTGCAATCATTGCAGCAATCTATCATGCTGTAGAAAAATTTTGTACTGACAGCTTATGTGCAGTAATGGCTCTATATAACAACAAGAATGGGTCCTATTGTAACATTCTAAACAATCCTACTATACATCAACCATTGCTTATTCTGTGGGTGCCTTCACATTTGGGTATAATATAAAGTTGCAAAGGAAGCGATTAATATGCCACTGATAACGGAAATGCCATGTTTCAAAGTTTGTATTACCAACATCTTTAAACATACCCAATTGGATATATTAGAACGGGAATAGATAAATTGTGGTTGTTTTCTGAGGCAGCATAATCCGTGTCTTTCTGGGCCCATTTACCATCATGAGTATTCCAGGCTGCAGTGTATCCTGCTCGCCCGAATTAGAGTAGGAAAGTGTTTATTCAAATCCCGCCATAATTTTGAAAATTGTAGTCCTTTAAGTTGCTGTCATTGTGGAGTGGTTATCAATGTCCCTCACATTCTTATGGATTGTCCTGTATCCAGATTGTCGGAGCCACTTGAACTTATTTTGGATTGTTCTAAACCTCGGCAAATTAATAGAATTTTAAAATCTTTTGCTAAACATAATATAATGGATATATTATATTTTTTTTTCATTTTTAATTTTAATTGAAATTGTAATAATATACTTTTAAGTTAAAAGTATATTATTACAATTACAAGTTAAAAGTTTTAACTTTTGTATTTCAAATAACTTTCTTTATAACTTTATGAGCTGAACCTTCTATTTATTTGCATTATTTTAATGAATTGTTATATTAATTTTAGTATTATTCTTTTACCATTATTATTAAATGTACATATCTTGATAGAACGCGCAATATGGTCTTGTTACCCTGCGCTTATTATTATATATTTAATATATTTATGTATTAAGTATATTTTTGATAAATAAATAAATAAAAAGCAAACTGAACTTCTATTTCATTAAAAAAATAAACAACTTTTTAAACTCCATACAAAAGAGATCATCCTAATGGATGTATTTACATATTTACATGCATATGTATGTACATATAACAACCCTGAATAAAGTAAGTGTAAATGAGCTGTAAGTGTATCCTTCTACTGTCGTCTATCACTCACATCTTGTCTATTTTTTGCTTAATTCGTGTTTTGGTAGTTTGATTACTACAATATCGATCAAACAAACACTTAGGCTTTTGGTTATTTATGCACCATCAGTTTCAGTTAAATTTGTGATGAAATTTGCTTCAAACGGTTTATTTCTAACAGTAAGCTAAAGAATAACACATCATTCATATAATCTTATAATACAAATAATTACTATGGATGATCGAACCATTGACTCGATATTTGCTGGATCACTGGAGTCGCTGCCTCCTGTTAGTTCTAAAATTGTTCGTATTTTTACTAGTTCTACATTTACGGGTACGTATAGTTTTCGAAATACCAAGACCATCAAAATTATTGTTGCGAAATTATATGAATGAAAAAATAGATACAACGATGGAACGTAATTCGTTAATGGCGAAATGTTATCCCCGCATCAAAGACTATTGTCGCGAAAAACATGGTTTGGAATTTCAGGCATGTATAATTATTACTTAATGATTACATCATCACTATTTTGTTGTTGGAACCTCGTACATGTCTAGGTAGTGGATATGCGATGGGGAGTGCGTGACGAGGCTACAGATGATCACATGACAACTGAGCTGTGTATGCGAGAAATAAAAAATTGCCAAAGGTTATCTATGGGTCCGAATTTTGTGGTATTTTTGGGTCAAAAATATGGATATCGACCAATACCGACATATATTGTTTCTTCAGAACTGCAACTGATTTGCGAAGAATTGACATCAATGGGCGTGGACCGTGCCCTATTGGATTTATGGTATAAAAAGGATAGCAACGCTGTACCACCGGTGTCTGTACTTCAGCCAATTTCTTCGATATTGATTAATTTTAATAATAAACGAGTACCTAAGCTACAGGCAGAAGATCAGGCCATCTGGTGGGATACTTTGGGAAAAATGCAAAAATTGTTGAGAAAGGCAGCTGCTTCTCTTGGAGCTAGTGGTAAAATGAGTAAAGACGCAGTACACAACTATTTCATGTCAGGTAAGAGACGTGGCAATACTAACGATGTAGATAGTAGTGATTAAGTATAATATAATATTGATTATAGTGATTAAATATAATATAATTGATTTTGAGTAACATATTTATGCTTTGGTTAGTAACTGAACGCGAGGTCATAAATGGCATTTTGAATGTCAAAAATACAAAAAACCATTGCCTTTCATATGTCCGTTATATTAACAATATTAACCTGCAGAATTTGAAGAAGGCCTCTCTTTTTGTCGACATTATAAACCGAAGTTTGGATACTGAATCAGCAAAACTTTTAGCCGATTTACGAGACAATCGGTTGCCAGCAAAAATTGAATCCAGTAACTCCCAAAAATATACCGTAGAGTGGATCGGCCGTGAAGGCCTTGATATCGAAACACATGAGGAGTATCTTAATCATTTTATATCACACTTTTATAAAAATATTATCAAATTAGTTGATAGAGCTATGCGCAAGGAAGACTCCAGTGCACAGGGACAGATAGTCACTGAAATCCTTCAGCATTTGCACGCTTGTAACAATTCGGTTAAGGTCTTCTATGGACGTGAGGAAAGTCTAGAACACATCAAGCGTTATATGCTGGGGGATTCAGATAAACCACTTGTCCTTTATGGCGAAGGAGGTTGTGGAAAAACATCACTTTTGGCTAAAAGTGCTGCACTTGTAGCTACAGAATGCACTTGTAGCTACAAAAGACCAATAAATATAATACGTTTTTTGGGAACAACCCCTGACTCGAGCGCATTAACACCAACTCTAATATCGATTTGCCAGCAGGTGGGTGGTTAGTTGTATATGCAGCATTCGATAGCTCATAAATATATTCAAGCCTATATCGATATTGCCATACATATTTGTGTATTCCTCCATGTTATAGATTTCCTACAATTACATGTTGCCTTTTGAAAATATTCCTGATGACTTGGTACCTTTAACAGCACACTTTAAGCAATTATTAACTTATGCTAGTGAAAATCAGCCTTTGACGTTATATCTAGACTCGGTTGACCAACTAACTGGTACACAAGATTCAAATAGTGTTTCCTGGATACCTACCCGGTTGCCAGTACACTGTAAGGTAAGTGGGTATTGCATGAATTGTCGGATACCAAGCCTACCTCCCCCCTTCTTTCCCTGGAATATCGAACTTAATCAAAATTGGTTGTCGGCAATATGATTCAAAAGTATAAGTTTTCCCAAATTGCTTGATCTGTGCCTGCTAAACTGGGCTAAATCTAAATTGTTAATTTATCGATGTTGAGATGGTGGTGGGTGGGTAAAGTTTTGTAGGCTATGGTATGGAAAAAATAGGTCTTGTTTTAAATATTTACTTTTGTTCTCCTAAAATTATCGGCCATGAATTTATATTAGATCATAATATCATGCGCAAAAGAAGAAAACAATCCTGTTGTATCCCAAGAATATCATGTCTTGCGCAAAATGATTGATGTGGAGGAGAATTTCATAGAGGTCACAGCATTAGGTGAAGATTTGGCGATGAACGTCATTAAAATGTGGATGAAAACAGCATGTAGAGATCTTAATAATTATCAGTGGCGATTAGTTGCAAATGCGATTAGCAAGTGTTCTTTACCAATTTTCGTAAAGTTAGTGTTTGCCGAAATATGCCGTTGGCGCAGTTATACTCGTCCTCAAGAAACCCACTTGGCTAACAACGTTATGGACTCAATTATGATGTTGTTCGAGAGAATTGAGAAGCAGCATGGTCGCATCTTGGTATTTCATGCTTTAGCATACATTACAGCTTCGAAGTCGGGATTGTCTGAAAGTGAGCTAGAAGATTTGATATCGTTGGATGATAAAGTTTTAGACGATGTTTATCAATACCACTTACCCCCCGTTAGACGGATTCCCCCTTTGTTGTGGACACGTATACGTAACGATTTACCCAATTACCTAAGCGAACGAGAGGCTGATGGTGTCAATGTAATGAACTGGTATCACAGGCAGTTTCGTGACACTGCAAAGGAGCGATATTTCAAAAACATGAACATGGCGATGTATTTCCATTCTATGATTGCCGATTATTACTTGGGTATATGGGGCGGAGGAGTACCAAAGCCTTTTAAGTTTACGGAAATACAAAGACATCGTTTTGGTCTCACGGAAAAGGAGGGTTCAGCTGACCGTAAAGTACCAATACAACCTTTGGTATTTACAAGTAAAGACGGAAGTTCCAAAAGATACAATCTTAGAAAGGTGAAAACGAATACATTAACCCTAATAAAACATTTAATATTTTCTCAATGTTCTTGTCCAAATATACAGTTTGGTGAACTTCCGTTTCATTTTGTTCGATCACGTCGATTTAAGGATCTGTTTGAACATGTACTTTTTAATTATGAGTGGCTACATGCAAAGCTTTCTAGTTGTCCACTACAAGCAGTTTTAGCTGATTTTGAAGATGCTTCATCAAACACAGAAGACAAAGAAGCGAAGCGAGAGCTGATGTTAGTAGCAGATGCATTGCGCTTGGGTGGAGCTATTTTGGCTGTGTATCCCAATATGTTGGCTCCTCAGCTAGTCGGACGACTTTTACCGGAAATTGGAGGCAATGCAAACATAAAAATGTTGTTGAGAGCATGCGACCATTGCGGTCCCAAAGACTGCGCACTAATACCGGTCAACCATTGTCTCCACACGCCAGGAGGACCCCTAAAGGTTTGCCTCTAGTTTTATATGTTTTCAGATTTTGAATTTAAAACCAAATACTTTTCAAACTCTTAAGTATTCCCTTGAAGGACATCAATTTGCAGTGTTTGCTTTTCGCTTAACCAGTGATATGCGCTACATGGTATCTATATCGACTCATTTCATAACATTTGATTTGTCAACGTCAGATTTAACTCGAGATGTTAACCCAGGAATAGAGGGAATAATGCAACAACTAGTTTTAAGCCCTGATAATAAATGGGCCGCTGCCTATTCCAATAACAATCAAACTGTCCTGTTAAATATGCTTTCGAGTGAATTTGTGATTATTAATTCTCCATTCGAAGAATGCGATGGACCGATTAGCAGTCTGTATTTGTTAAATCAATGGTAATGATATTAATTAATCAGTGATAACTAGTAATAATTTGTATCAATGTATGTATAGTTTATTCATAAGTTGCAAACTGAAATGGGCCCAATTCGATATGCGCGGAAATCTTGTGGAAATATTTGCAACACCTGGAAATTGCATTGGATGGGAAATTTTGCACATAGAATTTACAACGCCAGCTGAATATAATCTCATCTTTTGGTCTGGGTCAATTAACGAGTCACGCTTACGTTTCGATTCGCACAGAAACGAACTTTATACAGCACCTCTTTATTTTTTTAGTGCTCTAGCCCTTAATAAAAATCGAACACAAATTTATGGATGCGCAAATGAGGATAATTATGAAGTTAGTGTTTATCGATTTGAGGAATCGAATGATAATTCGTCTATTGAATGGATATTAGAAAACAAGCTACCTCGCTTTGAAAACGATGAAAAGGAAATGTTACTCCAGCTGCGTTTAGATCAACAAGATCGCATGCTTTTGGGAACAGCCGGAAAAGGCTTCGTAATTTGGGATTTTGGAGATGCAGATGGAAACCGATTGAGCGATAAATCTATGTATCTAGCATTGCCGCATGGGGTGAGGAACATCACCACCAAAATAATGGAATCAAACTCCATAATGACCAGTTCAAAGCTGGACTATGCAGTAGCGGGTGTCCGAAAAAACCTTTATGTATGGTGTTTGCACACCCTGCAACTAGTTAAAGTTTTAGATGCTCACTTTGGCCGCATCATACAACTTGAAGCATTAACTATCGGAAATTGGAATAATGTGGTCACTTCATCGATTGACCGCTCCGTCAAAGTATGGAATATCAATAACATATTCGAAAAAGTGCATGTAATAGATCGACATGAACTACAAATTGATAATATCAGGTAATTATTATTAATTCCACCAGTCATTTCTTGTGGTAATCCTTGAAAATTTTATTTTAGTTTATCTGAAGTAGATTTGGCTGTAACAGTCACTCGAAGTTGTGTGGGAGTTTGGGAGACACGAACCGGAAGATTAATAACTAAATTAGCGGATAGCCCTTTGGGGGCCATTGTGACACACGCTGAAATAACACCCGATGGACGGTACATAATTTCCTCCGAAACAGGCAAATTTCTTATATGGAATCGAGTTTCCGAGCAAGTTATCTACCGTGACGACCAACCGGGAATTCAACAAATAACGTTTATGGACTACGGTTATAAAGTAATGATTGTTTCGTGTCCGAACATAAATCAAAAAGAATTAAAAGAAGGAGAAGATACAAATCGTCTAATGGCCACCACAACAGTAAGAACTGTTCCAGGTACGATTAGAAAAAATGCCAAATTGTTTTGTTATTCAACCGTTTATCCTTAACAGAGGGTTCCATATTATTTCGATTTGAATATCCTATTCGAATGATCCCCGGATTATCTTTTCGCCAAGCAGTAATATCAGCCGATGCCGCCTACATAATTGTATGCACTGTAGACAAAAACAATAAAGATTGCCTTGCGGTCTATAGTGCTACAAATGGAACTTTCATTTCAAAAGTTCTTTTGAAAAGCTGTTCTATTAAGGAGGTAGTCTCATTAGTACCTATGCCGCACAAGGCCAGTCAAGTAGCTGTTATAAATAGTGAAAAGGGCAGTATTATGGATATAAAAACAAAGAAACATATACGTTCCATACCAAAATGGGGAGGCAGTATCACAAAAGATGGAAAGTACGGCATATATGCCCCTTCTAGGGGAGGTCTAGAAATGTTGGAACTACGTAAAGGAACTACCGTTAAAACATTCATACCTAAAGTGGCCGAGGGTGTATTTTCAGTTATATGCATTTTTACTGAAAGTGATGAATACGTTTGCTATTATCACAGTGGTCGCAAAACCATACGAGTCTTTCGTACCTCAGATACCGAAATGATTGCTAATTACCGTTTACAAGCAGAATTGACAGCCATTAAGAGTACAAAAGACGGACGATGTATTGTTTTGGGCACAGTTGATGGATGCATGTCATCTTTAGCCATTGTAGATCCTAAAAATGATGGCATGATAGAATGGTTGAATGCGTTACCATCAAGAGATGAAAACTGGAAGGCGAAGCTGGCAAAAATGAAGGCAAAAGTTGGCTTTAAAGCAGCTGTACGTGTCGCCACAATATCCTCCAGACTGGATAATCAAAAATTCAAAAACAAAGATTTGAAAGATGATGTCAAAGCTGACAACGAAATGGAAAATACAGAACTTATAGGGGAATAAATAACACTGTGCTTGAATTTAATACTTATTTTTTCTATCAATCTAGGCAACCTGCGGGTTAAACTAATTCGAGTACGCTGAAATTTCTAAGGACCAATCTTTAGGTGAAAGATTAGCGATTAAATTAAAATTAATCCTCAAAAGTTGTTTTTGAGTACTCAATTAGTTAATTTTGTTTGCAAGTTTAAGCGCCCAATGGAGGCGGTTTAAACTTGAGCAAAAAATTAAAAAGTGTAAACAGCAGATGCAAAAAACTTAATACAATTTTTATAAAAATAAACATTAAAATGTTAATTTTATTTTTTAAATTTTAAATTTAAGTTTTCATTAATTTTCATATTAAATTTACAATTGTCTTCTTTTTTATAAAACATGCATTGTTTTGATAACAAACAGTGACGTTTTCTGTTGTTTTGTATGGTAACACTGCGAAGTTTAATCTTGTACTCAAAAACATCAAATGGGATTAACATCAGATTAAATTTATTTTTAGATTAACTAATCTGATTGGCATTTGATTGCCAACTAAAAAACCCGCTCTAAAACGACTGCGCGATAAATTTTTTTAGTTTATTTTGCGTTACGCGAATAATAGTAAATCTTAAAAACAAGAGCTAACCTAAAAAAAAAACGATGAGCACCATTGAACTCAGCACACTAGAATTAGTTTAATCCGCCGAATGCCCAGCTTGACAGTTTTTTCAACTAGCATAGTGTAATTAATTGTTGACTAATTTTTAGCTCCCTAGTATATCTCGTTAAACAGATAACACTTTAAAAACAGTATTTTGTAGAAATAAAAACGCTTCTTATTGCTTATATCTATATAAATAAAAATCAATTGTCGTTCGTTGGTAATTGCATCAGTTGAGAACGGCGATTTGGACAATTTTTTTACTGAAATGTTCATCATAGTCCAACTTAGGTTTTTACGGAAAGAAAAATTGACAACGCCCACTTTTACGCACACTTTTTTCGATTTATCTTAAATCGGAAAACGGCTGCACCGATTTGGCTAAATTTTTTATTTAAATGGTCGTAGTAATCTAAGTTTTGACTGAAAGAAAAATTTACCACGCCCACTTTTTTCGATTTATCTAAAATCGGAAAACGTCTGCACCGATTTGGCTAAATTTTTTAAAACATGTTCGTAGTAATCAAATTTAAAGTTTTACTGAAGGAATAATTGACCACGCCCACTTTTACGCTCACTTTTTTCGATTTATCTAAAATCACAAATCGAACATAAACATTTTTTCTAATTTGGTCAGGACAACGTCTGTCGGGTCAGCTAGTGTATATATATTTTTTTATTCAGATATACATATGTATATCCAAACATTAATGAGATGAATTCCTTAAAAAAATAAAGACATGGTAAGTTGATATTCATGGTTCATGGTGTAGTTTAATCGAAATCTCCAGATATTGGAAAATTTAAAAAAGAAAACAACAAAAAAAAAAATGATTTTAAATACATACACATTATACAACGGAACACTGAACACCCAAAGGAATAAAAACATTTTCAGTTTAATAATTGTTTGTATATAAGTTTTATTTGATTATATTTTTAGGAAATTTTTATTAGGTTAGAAAGAATGATTCATTATTGATTTATAAGTTAAAAAAGTAAAAAAAAAAATAAATTACGTTAACTTACATCTACAAAAATTAAAGGAGTACTACTACAAGCTAAAAAAAAAATTAGAAAAAATTGTTGAAAATCAATGAAAATTGAGCGTAAACTATAACAAACACTAAGAATGAAAAAATGAAAAATGAGGAATCGAGTAAAAAACAATGTAATATTAGAGTATTTTTAATCTCTTTAGAGAAAATCAATGCAAAATAGTGTTTGAAATAACAAAAAACAAAAGAGAAAAAAGTCCACGACTTAATACTAAGATTTTTTTATTAAAACTAATAATATAAAAAAGGTATGTGTATAACAATATTTTTCAATACAAAATGAAGATTAGTTTTTAAAGAATTAACGAATTTGATGAAAAAAGATAATAATAAAGAAACCAAACTTATGCTAATACTCCCCATTTTCAATATCCGCAATAATCGCTTGAATTACTATTGTAAAGAATAGGGTTGATAAATAAGAATTTCTCAACTACATTTTAATTATTTTAAACGAATAAGAAAATAATATTAATTTTATTTGTTGATGTTTTCTCGCAGAGACTTTTTAGTTCAATTAAGTTTAAAATCGTACTTCTCTTTTATTAAATAAGTATTTTTAAATATGCATTAATTGTTTCTGTTCATTATTTTGTTAGTCCCAACGAGTGGGTTATAAGAATAGGTTTGTTTTTTTATTCCTATTTAATTTGAGTATACATCATTTTTATACGTATTGAGTGTTTATTTTTATATTAAGATTTGTTTCTGCTTATGTTTTTTTTTTAACTATTTTTAAGCAATTAAATATGTATCGCTATTGCTTCAGTCAGTAATCCTTTGAAATTCATTTCAATAATATTCCATTGTTCACACTCGCACAAAATCTTACTGATTGTTAATTAGATGGATCGGTGATATATAGCTAAGGGTCGGTGCAACTTTATGCAGCTTTACATCATCACATTTCATGACACTATTGGAAAAGTAGCATATAAACATGAGTTTCTTTTCAGCTTCTAATGGCTCAGTTTACCGATACATATATTTAATAGTTAAAAAAATCATTAAGCCAGCGCATTTAATTTTATTTTTAATACCTTCCCAAAGGATGTCGTAAAATGTAATCGTTTAAAGCGGCTTTTAACAAGGACAAATGCGGGTGGGTGACTAAGAAGCAAAAGTTTGGAGGATTTTATGGATAAGATGAATTAAAAAATCGATTTTCTGTGTCAAAATTAAGACACCTTTCAGCGATTATATAAAAGCAGATCTAAGTATGACTTTCCTTTTTTATCTGGGCCAACTTTGCTTGTATATGTTGTAGACGGTTTGGAGACATTTCTGGTTTCTAATCAAAATAAAATAACATTCACGCATCACGGAAGTAGTAGTAAATATTTTTTAAAATGTACTTACATCTCTCCTTATTAAAGACACTTTTTGGGCATTCATTGTATTTAAACTCAGGTTTTCATCCATGACTTTGTTGTCCATCATCATTAAATGTGAGTTGGTTAAGAGACTGCCATCAGCATTTCGATGAGGAGCTAAATTTGCTTTAGCTCTTAACTGATTTAATCGATCCATCCAAAAATCGGGATCTGGCTTAACACCAGCATTTTCGCCAATTGCGGAAGCATGTTGATTCTGATAATTTGCATCTGTTAGGTACGAAGATCGTGCGACTTTTTACATAGTTTTCAACAGAAATATTAATTTTTATACAAAAGTGTATGTGCACCCGTTTATGAATGTTCATGTGTTTATGTATACATAGATAGATGTGTGGCGAACACGTGAGTTGTTTGTGTGTAATTAAAAAAAAAAAAAATACTTAATTTTAGGTATTCTGTGTAATTCAGTATTGTTTTCGTTTGTGCAATTTATACAAGTAGAATGTAATGCAATGTAATAAATACAAATTTAACTCACCCAAACGATTATCACTCAATTGTGTTGGTAAATTAGTCTGGGGTTGATTTCCCTCTACCGTAGTTGAAACTGTACGTTGAATTTCAGCCAATCCTTCCTCAATATATTTTTGGAAGCTAGGGCTAGCTCCTTTTAGAAAAGCCGAAACATCAATTTCGGGATTTTTCGTCTATAAACAGACAATGACACAAGAACACTAAATGAAAAAGTGTCTTTTGAATAGCAATGCTGTTTCAACTTACCTTAAATTCATATAAATTTTGGAGACCTTGCTGCTTTGTATCCTTATCAGAAATTAATTTAAATATTTGGGACATGGTTTCGTGAGCTTGATTTGAAATACGCTGTTTGGATTGCAGATCTCTCGAAGATGCCGAACGTTGTGGGGAGGAACTCGGCAAATTACCCTCCTTTTGCAAGTTCTAAAATTTCAATATTTTTTTTAAATCAGAAATCAATCAAGTGGTTTGACTTTAAAAATATATTCATACCTTTAAAATTTTTATCAAATAGGCATGAAGTTCTGAATGAGTAGGAATCTGATTTAAATGTTGCAATATGGCATTTCCTTTAACCTTTGCCATGTTGTGTATAATGGTTTTCACCGTTCTCAAAGGTGTGTCCGAAGGTCGCGTTTGCCACCAAGAACTTGGCAATGCCAGCATAAATTCGTGTACCTCAAGTATTACTGCATCATAGTTTAGCTCATTGCTCCGTTCAGGCAATGTTTTGACATTGCGCCATATGCATTTCATTAGAAGGTCTGTGAACTTTGGTAATCCAGCCTCAGGACATGTTTCTCGCAGCAAACGAATTAATGCACTAATTGATTTATGCATTTAAATTTCTATAATCCATTTACCATTTATTTCTATCTACAAACTAACTTACCAATTCATGTTCGTAAAATTAGATTTATCCAATACTTTTAAACAGATTCCATTTATTACTTTGTTATATTGGCCATCATCACTGGTATTAAGTTTTTGATCCGCCAAGAGATGTAGTAAAGCCGACATTAGATTTTTAATGCAGGCAACGCTCATTGTTTTACCCAACATTTTCGAATAGAAAAATGAGTAGAGAATAGATAACAATGGCTGATAGACTACAAGCGATTCAGTAATAGGTATTTGTGAGAGATTCTGCAAAAAAAAATTAAATATTAATTTCCGATACAACTATCATCCTTATCTTTTTCTATTTGATTAAATTGGTTTTAGTGCTTGTTAAAATTTAAGCAGTACCTTTAACTGTGCCAGCACGTTTTGAATGAAAATCTCCTCATAATCCTTTAACACGGCTTGTTTCTCAGGGGACTGAATTATTTCGTTAAGCTCATTTATGGCTGCTCTGGCTTTCAGGGTGTCCGTACTGCTAATACCCTTTATTATTTTTATTAAATGAGGGTCATGTTTAGGCAACACATCAGCCAAACTAAAAATTAACAAGTAGAGAAGACGATATGAGTATGGTGAAAACATTTCATCGTACAACCATGCATACGTACTTTGGCGAATTGATACCCATTGTTTGCTGATAGAGAGCGGCATTAAATTGCTGCTGTTGTTGTTGGGGACTTAAATATGGAGAGCCATTGCCAACCATTCCACTTGCTGCAGATGGCGGAGGTGGAGT